TATAATGCATTCGTTGCAAAGGACGACTAAGCCTTGAGTTGCTTGAGCCCAAGGATCGTGAACTTGGTTGGCAAAGGTAAAGGAGAGGCGTGAGAAACCAAACCGGGGGATGAGAAAACTTAATAGATTTGGGCTACTCAACTACGGCAATTGGAAGTATATCCGTCTTGGTTTTTTTCCGACCAATTACGAGGCAAATTTTAGGTATAGACTAGGAAAAATAAACTTGGTTAGTATTTCATTTTGCGAAATCTCCCGTTCTTTTGGTAATCAAATGTCGTTTTAGACAATCTATCCCAACACTACGGTTTAAACTTTTGTTCAAAACACTCATATCACACGGAAAGTTATCTAGTGGACTATAAGTAATAACAGAAAACAAATTATTTTTGTTTCACTCACTACTCTACTACAAGGCTACACTACTAGAGAGATACAATACTAGAGGGTTGTTTACTTTTCAGTTTTTTTTTTTCCTAGCGAAATCATAGGACCATTGATTACAAATATATTGCAAACCATTAACAAGACCTTAGTACAAGAAAACATTTAAAAGTTGTAACGCAGATCATCTACCTCCTCAACCGAAGAGGCTCATCATAGCTTTCATTGATACTCAAAATGAGAAAACCAATTTATAATGCAAACATTCTCTAGTTACAACAAGGGGAAAAAAAAATGGTGATGGATGAGAAGAATGATTATTAATCCATGGATTCAAAAGATGGAGCATACCAACCAAGCTCATCAACAAGTTTCTTCATCTTCTCTTCTTGTCCTTTAGAATCTCCAAAAGCAGTGGTAAAAGGATACACAAATGTAACTTTAGTAGCCATACACCTATAAGCAACCACATCTTTCTTCACCAAAAACTCCATCAAATCTCTACTAAATCCACTTCCTTCTACCTCTGCCTCCAAATACCTCCCTGCATTTGTTGTGATCCCAATTTCTCCATAACCAAATCAATAACACTGTTCTTATATACAAAGATTGAATGAGAAATAGTTACCATATGGTGTATCTTCAAGAACCAAAAACTTTGGATTCTTCTGAGTTTTGACTATTGCTTCCTTTAATTTCTGTGGTAAAACATAAAGGCTAAGTTTTTAATACTTAAATTGAGACAAGAGCTTCGAAGATGGTGATAAAGAGACCTGAATTGGATCTTGTGTATCGGTTTCAGGGATTGATAATGGAAATGCGAAGGAAGATGAAGTTGGATTCGTTGAGACACATCCTGGGTTTGTGGAAGGACAAGGTCTGATTTTTCTGCAAAATACAGAGGAAAAAAGATTAATAAACCCAAAATTAGTG